CTACACTACCCCCCCCCCCCCTCCCGGAAAACGTTTAGTCCCCTCCCCTCGGAAAAATAGTCTGCGGATGCCCATGTATATATATATATATATATAACATGAAATTTTGCAATCATTATTGTAAAATGAGATTTGTGCACAAAGGGATTAATAAAAGAATCTACATGAGGGATAAAAACATTAACAATGAATGGTTACGAAAGTTTATTAACTATTCAGTGTCACACACGTAGATTTAAAGTAACAAAATATATTTATAAAGAATCGTAACTTTCGTGTTTGTTGGCCCTATGAATTTTGGTGCTAGCGATGTGGTTCGAATCCATGCGATATCACAAAATATCCCCACCCCGCCTTTTAAGCCATAGATGCGCTATATGAGTGACAGTCAACCCCCTTAGCATGAGTGATAGGGTGCTACAAACTGACTACCTTCCCTATATTCAGTAGCTCAAAATTAGAGACGGCAATAGATAGCCTTAGTAACTTTGCCGTCCATGAAAAAGTACAAATAAAATTAGCGTCCAATTACCTTACTAATAAATAGGCTCAACGTGAATCTAACCCTTTTTAGCGTTCAGTAACAACAAAGTTTGTAAAATAGAAAATACGTTTTAACAATTTTTTTCAGATGCTGGATTTTTGAATACATCTGATCTTTCTTACACATCTATTATAATGAGAATAAAAAATATAAAAACAACTTTCGTAAACTTATGATGTCGGATATTATATCAAAAATGAATATATTGAAATGTATAGTCCAAACAATAAATATATATATATATATACAGAATCTATATAAATATAATAGTACTGTCTATCGTATTTCCATGTAACTACTTCGCAGGGTGTTGATGGATATTCATCAAAATTGCTATGGAGGTTCATTAGATCCATGCGGGAGTACATACAAATATTCAGTTTTGCATTTGATTTTTTGCGATTTTTATGGGTGTTTTTGTTTTTTACCACTACCACACCTCTCGTGGATGGATCTTCACCAAAATTGGAATGGAGGATCACGTGGTCCATGGGGAGATACATATAATTCTC